TAAGTTCAAAAAATGGTGAATGCTTCCACTATTTGTGATGAAAAGTCCAAGTAATCTATCTAAACAGATAGATTAAGCAATTTAAAGTTTTATTGGGTTAGAGTTGGAGAGATCCCACTTCAATACTTTACTCACGTACCAAACTCACTGAGTGAACATGAACTATCTTATCTGTTGGCTTAATCTGTCTCCCAGTGTTGTAAAGATAAAATGATGTACAACATCTAAACAATGCCAAGATCCTTCAAGGAGATGTAAAATAGAAATTTAACAAAGCAGTATTTTGTTTTGAATTTGGTGAAATGAAACTTCATAGAAAGGCATTAAGGAATCCTTTAGAGTCTTTGACATAATTGACTTTGTGAAGTTAGCCATAATTTTCAGTAATTATTTTAAGTGAGAAAAACAGTTGTCTTAATTTCAAACTATGGAATGAGAGAAAAACAGATTTTTAAAATGATTTCATTCATATTGATCAAAGTATATGGGCAGGTTCTCTAAAATTAAATGTGATAGGGTTTTGCTCATCATTGCTACTCCCTATATGTGTAGATTTACCAAATTACAGTATATAAGACTCTGTATGCTTAAAATGTATATTCACTTGGAAGGTGTTTTGCAAAGCATACAGTCGGGCTGTGCAAATCCTTTGAAAGAAGTACTTTAGAATGCACAGGAAACTTTTAGAATGGTTAAAGCAGCTGCATCTTTTTCCAGGTTTGCATGGTACTCCAGAAGCTGCTGTTGGCCGCCTCCACATACGTATTCATGCAGAGCCTAGAAAAAGGCAAAACTGCTTTAACTATTCAAAAACTGGCACTTCATATACACATTCTGAAGTACCCCTTTTGAAGGATTTGCATAGACCTAATGCAGAGTTAAAGGGTTAGAGTTAGGGTAGCAAGTATTTCAGAGAATGCAATTCTCTGTGCTAATGCTTCATTGTGATTCAGCATGAGCAAATTAAGTAAAAGAATACATAGGAACTTTTTAAAAACAAAGCTTTAATGAGTCATAGCCCAAGGAACAAAGAATGAAATAATTTGAGAGCAGGTATTTTGGACAACTAAGATTTGCATAAATAAATCAGCAAACTAGCAGATTTACAGAAAGAAATTAAAGCAGCAATTTCTAGGCAAGGGGACTGAATTGTAACAAAGGCCAGAGAAATTAAAGTTCTAATAGATAAGATGAGATATTACTACACTATAAATTAAAGAATCTTGTAGCACTTTAACCAGCTTATTTTGGCACATGTTTTGTAGATTACAAAATTATTCATTATTTTTAATACAAACAAGGATCAAAATTGTAGAGATGGTGGCTACAGCCATCCAATTGAGGCCCTTCCCCCTATTTTTATATGCATTGTGCATACAACACACCTATTAAGGGGTGGGGCTTTAATTGTATAGTTTGTGGCTGTCATCCTGACTTTCTTGACACTCCTTGGTTGCCCCTGATAGGAAGTTTAACTCATGTAAAAAGTCAAAAGTAGATGAAAAGTGCTTCCATGCACGAAAAAGGCTTAATATACCTCTTTTAATTTTTTAAAAATCTCTCTCATAATTTTAAAAAATCCAACTGTCAGTCATTGTTCATTACCATTCAGTTGTTGCATGAACTTAGAAAAAATGCTGCGTCCTCTGGCTGCCAAAAAAGGTTATCTCCCTTGCTCGGTGAGGTTTTCCTGGCATTCTGGATTCTTCAGCCTTTTTGTGAACCGCCATATCAAGAATGTTTGCTATCTTGAGGAAAACAAAGCAATCTTGGAACAAGTCATTATAAGAATATTAATTTCAGTAATGTGTGAAATTTTTTTTTTTTTACTGTGTTGCTGTCTGAAACTTACTACTCTGAACTTCCAGTTGGTGTTAGTTGAAGACAAAACTAGAAACACTCCTGTCCAATTGTTGTCTGACCTGTTATTACTCATCCTTCCCCTCTTCCCCAAGAAAGACATTAAGTAGCATCAGTAGGAGTGAAAGGGAAATTAAAGTTTCAGGTGGATACAATTATGTATCTCATACAGTGCTTGTCAGCAACAAACAGCATATTGGGACACTTGTTTAAGTACAGAGAGCCTGTCTATTGCAGTAAATGCTGTCTGAACTTTTGTAAACATGGTTGAGGTTTATATGGGAAACCAACTGTGGACACAAGTTAAAAATATTTGTTGCTTAATTATCTTAGATACTTGTTTTCTCCTCAAAAAACTAAGAAAAACTGAAGTAGGTTAGAATGAAAAAGATCTAGTTTCAGATCCTTACATCTTAAACAAGTAGCTTATAGAATTATGCATACTTTGAGTAGCATATTAAATTATTAATGGTTTCCATTTGTATTGATAAGTCTGTTTAATTGTTCTGATGTTTAAAGTTCAGGATAGCAAAATGACAATAATGAAAGGGAAATTCTTCCATGTTCTTAATTTATGTTTATGCTACTTGGATGGTATGACTTCATAGGGGATTAATAACAGGCAAGTTCTGGCAGGACTGGCACAATTATTTTCTTTTTCAGTTCCCCCAGAGAAAATAATAATTGACCCACTTTCCGACTTTGTGTTGAAAGTCATGGACTTTCATTTATAATGAATTTTATGCCTTCAGAGTGTTCCATCATAGCAGTCACAAGTGCAGCATTGTAGTTAAGATTCCTGGTAGATATTGTACATCTGATCTTGTGGTTGGCTACCTATAACTCATTCTGAGAATGCTGTAAATGAGGTATTCTGAAATACAGGTCTGTCCTTATTCCTGCTTTGGTGAATGCTCTGTTTCCCTCAATCAAATGCAATAAGCCTCAGGCTTTTGCCAATCTTGAAGATAAATAGAAGACGGTGTCTTTTTATTAATCTCCAGAGTGCAGAAGAAAATCTGAGACTAACATACTGCTGGCCTTCTGAGGTAGTTGATCAGCATAAAAGCACAGAGATGAGTTCCAAATGTTAAGTGTTTGGGAGAGAGTATGTGCTTCACCTGGCCTTGTATTCCATGTCATAAGAGCATTATGAAGTTAGGAAAACTGCTTAGCCACTGGGGAAAGGAAACAGGATATTTAAGCCTCTGCCTTTGATTTTAGTTGTTCTTCCTAGTTTTTAACAGGTATATGTTTGTATGCAGATTCCAAAATTTTAAAACACTAAGTTTCCATGTCATCCATTATATGGAAGTCTTAGAGTCAAAGTGTTCCAGTATATCATTATGCTTTTTGTCTTGACACATGAGCTGGGTTCCCTTATAAGGATGCTTATAGACTGATGAAGTTCAACCCATGGAATCTTATGCCATAATATATTTGTTAGTTTTAAGATGCCAAATGGATTTTGTGGTTTTATCTGGGTATGTATGTTTGCATTTTACTGAAACAGTAAATTGACATGACTGTGTAATTGCTGATTGTAATTCATATGCTCTCATCTGCAGACAGAAGTTTGAAGTTTGTTTATTTATTTGTTCATTCATCAAATTTATATGGCCACCCATCTCACGAAAGACTGGCTCTGGGCAGCGTACAATCAAACTATAAAACAGTTAACATATAAAAAATTATTATTATTAAAAACATTTTTTTAAATCACAAAGGCTAAGAGAGGACAGCAGATGCTAACAACAATGGAACCACCTTAATACCTCACTGGTCCTCTGGGGCCCCCAGCCTCATGGCATAACCAGATTTTGAGGAACACCTGGAAAATCAACAGGGATGGAGCCAGCCTCACTTTGGGCAAAGGATGTTCCATAAGGAGGGTGCCACAAAAGAGAAGACCTGCCTCTTAGGACCCACCAAGTATAGCTCCCTAGCAGACGGGACCCATAGCATGCCTCTTCTGCCACATCTGATGGGACAGGCAGATATAATCGGGGAGAGGCAGTCCCTCAGCTAACCCAGCCTTGTCCCATGGAGGGATTTAAAGGTCAAAACCAGCACCTTGAATTGGACCAGGAAGCAGACTGGCAACCAATGCAGGTCGCAGAGCAGAAGTGTAATGTGTGCTGTTCTAGAGGCATACACAACTGCCTGTGCCACTGCAGTTTGCACCAGCTGAAGCTTCCAGATACTCTTCAAGGGCAGCCCCATGTAGAGCGCATTACAGTAGTCCAACTGGGAGCTGACTAGGGCATAAGTGACAGTGAACAGAGCTCCCGATCTAGGGACAGGCACAACTGGCACACAGTACAAAGCTGTGCAAAGGCCCTCCTAGCCACCACTGCCACCTGCTTTTCAAGCAGGAGACGTGAATCCAGGAGGATCCCCAGGTTGCATATCAAGTCTGTTTGGGGCAGTGCAATCCCATCCAGCACCAAAAATGGCATAGTTCTAGAATCGGCAGACCCCAAAACCCAAAGCCACTCAGTCTTGCCAGTGGTCAGCTGAAGGCTGTTGTTCCCCATCCAGACCCTCACAGCCTCCAGGCACCAGGATAAGACATCCACAGCATCACTTAATTTGCCTGGCGCAGAGATGTATAATTGGGTATTATCAGTATACTGATGGTACCTCACGCTATGGCAATGGATGAGCTCACTCAGCAGCCCCATGTAGATGTTAAATAGAAGTGGAGAGAGCACAGAACCCTACAACACCCACACAGTAGGACCCAAAGGTGGGATCTCTTCGCCCCTGATCACCACCAACTGGAATCAACCCCAGAAAAAGGAGGTGAACCAGCACAACACAGTGCTGCCCATCCCCAATCCTCTGAGCCGATCCAGAACGAATCATGGTCAATGGTATCAAAAGCCGCAGTAGGGCAAGGATGGATGTACAGCTCATCCCACTCTTGCTAGAGATCATCCAAAAGCGTGACCAATGCTGTTTCTGTCCCATACCCGGGCCAATTGAAAGGGATTCAAATAATCTGCTTCATCCAAGGGCCTCTGAAGCTGTTATGCAACCACCTTCCCCAAAAAGGGGAGGTTAGATACTGGATGAAAATTGTCCAGTATAGTGGGGTCCATCAATGGCTTCTTAAGGAGGGGGCAAGCCAAGGCCTCCTTAAGAGGTAGAGGAACAACCTCCTCAAAGAAGATTCATCACCACTAGAACCCACTCACATGACACCACCCCCCGGGCCGCTCTAATAAGCCAGAAGGGGCATGGATCTGAAGAGCAGGTGGCTGAGCTCACAGTCCTAAGGACCCTGTCCACTTCCTCAGGCCCAACAGGTTCAAACTGTTCCCAGATAACTGGGTAAGACCCTCCCCAGGCATCTTCCCCCGGCCCTGCAACAAGGCCAGCATTCAACTGCAAGCGAATTCAAGCAACTTTGTCCGACAGATGCTGAACAAATTCTTCCAACGCCCCTGCAAGGGCTTCTCCGAGCCCCCTCTACCCAAGAGTGCATGTGTCACCCGAAACAGCTGCAGGGCAGCTATCTGCAGACGCAATATGGGTGGAGAAATACTGACACTTCGCTGCCCTTACCACCACAAGGTAGGCCTTAATAGAGGCTCTAACCCATGTTCGGTCAAGTTCGTCCCCTGTTGAACGCCAGTGATGCTCTAGATGTCTCTTCTCTTGTTTCATCTCCCTCAGCTCTTCCGTGAACCACAGGGAGTGACGGGATCCACAAGAGGGGAGAGGTTGCATTGGTGCGATCCGATCCAAAGCCTCAGCTACCCCCCTATTGTAAGCGGTGACCAAGGCTGCAGATGAACCATGCAGCAGATCAACAGGAACATCCCCCAGCTCCCTCTGAAACCCATCCAGGTCCATCACTCACTAGGGGCGGACTGATCTAATGGGTGTTAATGGTGAAGGCATCCAGATTGGCCTGTCCCCAATATCTTATCCATACAATATATATTTGAAATAATGGTATCAGTACCATAAGCTAATACTGACATAGATATGATACAGTCTTTAAACAGTACAGGATTCTATGCTGATTCTGCCTACATCCCCTTTTCTTCTCCTTATATCATTAGTTGCTCAGTTGTCTGGTTTGGCTCTAAATGTCACAATATTGGATGCTATAGCACTAAGATATATGTTAAGTTAACAGTGAAATGGAGAAGTATTCAGTGAAATGTTTCTAAAGAATTTGCAACCTGTAAATTAGTATCTTGTGGAACCATAATGAATGTATTACCTGTATCATAATTCAAAGACTTTCTGGAGTAGTTAATTGTAGATTATTTTCTATGAATTATTTTTGGCTGTGTAATATCAAGAGTTATAGTAGTGATACCAAAAATAAATATATTTTTTCCCCTCCACAAATATAAGGTTCACTATGAAGCAAGGTGGATGGAGAAAACGAGCCAGTGACAGAGATGGCTGGGGAACATGGGTAAGCTCATGCCATGAATCTTTCAACTAACAAATAAGCATAATTTGGGGGAGAATTAAATCTTTTTGTGTCACTTTAATGCAATTATTTTATTTCATTAATAAAGCATATTCACCACTGCAGTGCCAAAAAAGTAGTGGTAAAGTCATACTTTTCACTTCACATAGGACTGAAAATCATTCTTTCTGATATTCAGAAGTAACTTAAAGTTAACACATGAGATTTATAAAACATACATATGAATATTAGACATGCAACTGTTCCCATATGAAAAATGACATTGATACCATGTAGTTTATCGAACAGAGGCTAGGATCTTTCATCACTCAGCAGTCATAATGCAGTCTGTTTGATTTTGTTAGTATGTGAAGTTACCTGTTGTGTTTTCTAAAGCATAAGTTGTGAATTAGTCCATGTTATTTCCATTCAAGGGAGGATATATGTCTGCAAAAGTCCAGAAACTGGAAGATCAGTTTCGTTCAGAGGCAGCTATGCAACTTCAGAAAGATGGAAATTCATCCAGCATCTTCAGTGGAGTTGCCATCTTTGTCAATGGCTTTACAGGTGATGCTTTTATTTTTATAAACTGTTCAAAATGTCCTCTAGGAATATAGTTAGGGTTCAGAAAAAATTAATGAAAAATTAATATGTGGGCAAATGGCAAAGCTAACGTTCATTCTGTTCCTAACCAGAATCTTCTATAACATTGTTTGCTGAAAGAATTAGGGATCCAATTTTTGCTTGCCTAAATTCCCTGAATGAAATGTTCCAGAATGCAGTGCTTAATGTACTCCTATTTTGTTTTGATGTAGACCAGTTTAACTTAGTTTTACAATAAACTGTATACATAATTCCAAAATGCAAGCTCCAGATTCGCACATTCCTTTTCTGCTTCTTACCTGAGTTATGAAACTGAAGAGCAGGACTGGTGGGCATCTACTGAAAAGACACTTCTTTTGCTTGTTTGTGTGTTGTAGTCTTGATAGTTGAATGGACAGAAAACTTTTCTTTCAGTTACCATCTAAATTGTACAGTTGTGGAATGGCCAAAGAGATGCTCTGAAAACTAAAATTTAGACCTAATGGTAATAACTTGTTGCTGCTGGAGCACTCTCAGTAGTAGGGGAAAAAATACTTTCTTTAAGTACTCAAAAAGAAAAATGCTCTGTGAGAGGGTAGAAACGTTTTTCTCACTGTCATGGTATAAAAAAGAAAAAATTGAATATTGTATATTGTCCCACAGTATAGCATTCTGTTTCAGATCTTGCTTGTTTATACTAATAGCAGATATTTCTGTCAACTACTAGTATGGCTACTCAGAATGTTACTAAAGCAAAGCTATCTATGAATGAAAGAGAGGAATCAACATAATTGTCTGAATTTCAACTACAAAAACTGCAAGGAAGAGAGAATGAAATGTAGTATCCTGGACAAAGGGATAGCAGCTCTATTGGAATACTGAACAGCAGTTCTCCACATCAGAGCATTTTAGTGCAGTTCCCATTTATTTTACTGCAGTAGGAAATGAAGAAGAAATATTAAAACAAATATTAAAAGTAACCTAATGAAAAACAGTTGGTGGCAATTTTCAAAATTGACATATTACTGAGGGAGAGGTAGAACTGTGAAATCTAAATCTATATGGGTATTTTGACATAAATATTTATATATAATCAATAAAATACAGTATACACTGTTATATATGCTCTATATCTATATCCTTAGCATTTTGTTAAATAAATTAGCTGAAGAACAGCTCAATTCCAAAGCATGATACTTTCATTTTATGGTTTCTTTTAATATTTTTATGTATCTTGTATCTCTATTACAGATCCTTCTGCTGATGAATTGAGGCGGCTAATGATGTTGCATGGAGGACAATATCATGTATACTATTCTAGATCCAAAACAACGCACATTATTGCTACAAACCTTCCAAATGCCAAAATAAAGGAACTGAAGGGAGAAAAAGTAGTTCGACCAGACTGGATAATAGATAGGTAAACATTGGAGAATCATGAGCAGACTGATAATCCTATTTGAATATTCTGAATATGAGGTCCATAATTGCATTTAAAAACAGCACAGACATCATTGCAGTCTGAAAAACTGATCTTACTGAGATATGCTGATAAATATTTTCTGTCTTTATCATTGAGTGATGTTATTCTCATTAGGTGTTTAACATTAGCTTGTGGCTCTGTGATAGCACTGATCAAATCTAGTGGGAATTTCAAAACATTAAAAGTACAGATTATTAAGTAGAAAGCTTTATATAATATACATATTATATTTAAATAGTAAGAGTAATACAAACTAGATGACTAATGGGTAATTAAAATTGATTCCACAAACATAAAGCACTGTATGTGTGTTCAGAATAAGCTTTTTCAGAAACACTCAACTTACAAGTATTTCTGAATTGTGTTAATTCAGGACTAGAGATTAACAGCAAAGTTGAGTAGTGTTTCATCTGGCTGGAAATATTGTTGGCTATGAATTATCTATTAGCTTTAAGATAATGTTATAAATGATTACACATTTTATATAAATTTTAATTCTTAAGAAAAATAGATGATTTATAAAGCAAGTAAATTCCTTAAGTAATTACAATTTCTGAATTTCTGAATTTCTCATATGCATTAAACTTTATTAGATTATTTTATAGTCTTTAAAAATAACCAATTCTGCTGGAGAGTAATTTGAATTATATTGTACATATTGAAAAAATCATCTGTACTTGAGACTATCCCCAGTGTAGCAGATAAGATTGCACCATTCCCATAGAAACCTAATCACATAAACGCTAACAAGTTCTTGGTTTTTTTAATTGGGTAATGTGATCTTACTATAGTTTTCTTAATTGCACATGCATTGGCTTTTGAGTCTTTGCCAAATATCTTGTTAGTGTATAAATGGAAGCTAGATGGAAAGTACATCATAAAGAATTAGGGGTAACTGTTGCTATAATATTCCAATTCATTTCCCCAGATCATACCTGATTATCCTCCTTTTCTGTATGTTTGCTGCATTTATCACAGTGTATCACTTCAGAATATTCTGGGGTTATAAATGGAAATTGTGGAAGAACTTGCATTTGATTCACTAAATACTAAAAGTTAACAACATAAATAAAACTTTTAAAAGAATTATATACAATTAGAAGAAATACATTACTTCTCTATATGTACTTTCATGTTGATCTTGTAAAAAAAAAAGTCATATTAAGTGAATAAATTGAAAGATCATAAACAAGCCAATGTAGAAAAAACTTCTGTCTTATTATTTCCCTTATTTAAAAAAAAACCTCAAATCTATTTGGAGATTCAGGTTAGAAGAGGGAACTCAGTGCCTTCAGCAGCTGGAGGGAGTCTGTGATAGAGCACCTATGTTCCCACTTTCACTCACTCTTCAACCTGTGGTAGACAGTAAGACTAAGGAATGAGAACACAGCAAAGGAAGCAGAGCAAATCTCTATCATTGGCTGGCATCACAAAAGGAATTAAATGCCAGAAAACTGAACCCTGGTTACTTGCCTCTCCTATTTTTTTTATAGCAACATTTAAATTGAGGCATCCTTTTATTCAGAAACAGTTTGACTTGTATAGTTTCCTTGAAGATTTTTAGTTACGTTGCTGCCTCCTTTTTCCTTTTAATTAATGTAAGTCCCAAGGAATTGCTCAATTAGCATTTCCAATGTATGCCCAGTGGAATGTAAGTTTTTGTTTCTCAAATCATAATCACACATGTGAAACAATTTTGAAACATAAAGTGTTTTCAAAAGTTATTTCGGTAAAGTGTGTAAGAGGATGTCTCCTGTTCAGATGAAGTGTGCTTAAGTCTTGGGTATTTCTAAAGTGTTTGAGAGAAATAATATGAGTAATTAGAAATATGTAATATAATCAACAAGCCATTTAAAACCTGTCTCAATATGTTCCTGAAAGTAAGAACAATTGAATTTAGATTATATCCATCAAACACACTTACACACATCTATCAGCGAGGTGTTCAGAACAGGGAGGTATTCCACTGTATATAAAGACTGTTTTTTCATGAAGTTTTTGATCAATTAAAATTCTGACATTTTGTTATAGCATAAAGGCTGGACGACTCCTTTCATATATTCCTTATCAGCTTTACACAAAACAGACAAGTATTCAGAAAGGCCTCTGGTTTAATGCTATATGCAAGCCTGAAGATTCAGTCCCAGGTCCTAGCAATATCTCTGTGGAACTCAACAGGGTGTAAGTAATTATTTTGATTTTTGATTTAGTAATTGACATTATGTTTAAGACTAAGAATGTTGATGAGTTTATGTTGACATTATATATTCAACTATTTGAAGATATCAAAGTACATCTCAAATTATATTTTAAAACAAAATGGAATTAAATCTGAGACCCAGTGCAGTGTAATGGTTAAGGTGATTCTGTATTAAAGAAACCCAGGTTCAGGTCTACTCTCAGCTGTGGAAGCTTACTGGGAGACTTTGGGCCAGTCATTCTTTTTCAGCCCAACTCACCTCACAGAGTTCTTATGGTGGGGAAAAACAGGAGTGGGGAGTGCTGTATATGCTGCCTTCAGTTCCTGATCAAAAGGCCAGATATTAATCAAATAAATAAATAAATAAGACAAAACTAATTTCTTACTATTTTTTCATTTGTTTTCCAAATCAAGGTTCTTTCAAATGGATTGGTATTAAAGGGTTTTTTTTAGATAAGTGTATGCAACAATGTGATATTTAATCCTGATCTGATACATATATAAAGCTGGGTCCTTTGTACTATAGTAGTATAGATTTGTTTCAGTGCTCTTATAGTAAATTAGTATCAATTTTAAACATGTACACTTTGACCTTTGGTTTCTAAAAGTCAGTTGAGAGCTGTTTAGTCGTTATCCATGCCTTAGTCATGATGTCTCTCACTCATTTCTCTGCTATTTAGGACCTATTTATTTAGTGAACTTATTATTTATTAAACCTATACCCCATTACAGTCAGAAGACTCTCAGCAACTTCCAAGATATATACTACAATAACAATTAAAACATTCAGTGTAAAAACACCAGCATAAATGTCAAGAAATGATAATATATATCAATAATAAATTAAAATGGTACAATACAGTAAACCTCTATACCCTCCAAAATAATTCAGTTTTCAGTAACTTCCTGAAAGCCAGGAGGGAGGGGACAAGACTGATCTCCAAAGGAAGGTCATTCCAAAGCAATTGTGCTGCCAAAGAAAAGCAGTGTTGTCTAGCCTAAGTTCACCTCACCTCCTGGAAGTGTGGGACCACTATCAACTGTTCCCTGTAAGATATAATGGGTTGGGCCAATTTTGGTTAGAATAGGCAGTCCTGTAAGTACAGGTGTCAGGAGATGAAGAGCTTTACTCTTTAATTCAATACCAATAACTTAAATTGTAGCTAGAAACCTATGGTAACCAGCACAGGCCCTGCAAAATCAGCCCTGTACTGGTTATGTTCCCATTGCCAGGAGCTGACAAGCACACAAGTCACGTTCTAGACCAGTTGCAGTTTCCAAATAGTGTCTAAGGGTAGCCCCAGGTAAAATACATTGCAGTTGTACAGACAGGTGGTGATGATTTGATTTCATTTAATTTATTAAATTTATACACTGCCAGTTATAGCCAGGTCCTCTCATGCCAGGTAGGGCTGCAACTAGTGCACCAATGTTTTATTATTATGCAACCCATTTCCAGCATAATAGCAGCAATTGAGTATATTACTAATATGGGTCTGTTTTTTTAACTTTTGGGGATTCCACAGTTTTGAATCTTACATTAAAATGTGTATTTTGTTCCTTATACTATGAATTGTAGCATCAGCGAGGAAATTTATTGTTTTGAAGTATGTTATTTTTCCATATAAAACATCCAAGATATTTAACATACACTTAAAAATAAAAGCCCAATGTTAAGAACAAACCTGCCAGAAACTGGTTAAATGAATGAAATACTGGCTAGGTAACTTTGGGCCAGTCACTCTCAGCCCAACCCACCTCACAGGGTTGTTGTGGGGAAAATAGGAGGCAGAAGTATGAGGTATTTCTCAGCCTTGAGTTGACCAATATACAGATAGTCCCCAGTTTAAGAACAAGTTCTGTTCTCAGGGTTTGTCCTTAAGTCGAATTTGTATGCAAGCCAGAACAGTATCATTGTGTAATACTGTATAAGTAGTATTGTGTAATGAATTCGATCCATTTTGTATTTAACTCGAATCATTGTGTATTTAACTTGAATTTTGCAACAGTAGGCTCCGTTCTTAACCATGGGTCGCCCTTAAACTAAGCATTCTTAATCCAAGGACTACCTGTATTAAAAAGGTGGGATAAAAATATAATGATGATGATGATGATAATTAGATGTCAGGACAGAATTTCTGTATCTCTTTGCTGCTTCTTGTGGTTGTGATTTTTACACCTCCAATCTGGTAGCCCCTAAATATTTCCACATCTTACTAAGATGTGGGAAGGGGTAATTGTTCTATTGAATAAATAGAGTGGCAGTATTTGTGTTACATGCTATAGCAAAACCAAATCACATTATTTTTGGTGGTGGGAAAGCATTACAATGGTACCTCGGTTCATGAACTTAATTCATTCCACGATTCTGATCGCCAACCGAATTGGTCTACAACCGAATCAAAATTTCCCATAAGGTTCAATGTAAATAAGGTTAATCCATTCTGAACCATATGTATTTTTTTTTTTAACCACAAAAATATGAAACAAAGTACAGTATAGTATGAAGAGAGAGAACACTAACCTTGCTTGAGGCA